ATCATAGCAATTGCACCTTAGTGTAAGGAATAATAATTTGAGCAGGCTTGGCTCCAAAGTACCGACATGATTCAGTACGTAATTGTTGGACCAAGGCCACTATGGCCTCATAATAAGGATTAATCACTTTGACTGGGGATACTGGTAGATGCACCCAAAGAAGAGGGCCAGCTTGTCAAAGTACAGCTGTAGGGGAGTCAGTGGTAGAAAAACACAACCCATCCAGGGCTGACTATAATCTATATAAGTAATTTGTTGCTGTTCAGTAGCATTTTCTACTAATTGGAAAGCTTGAAGAGCATCAGGAGTAATTTTTCTGCTAGGGTTGGGATCCAAATCTTTTAACACATCAAATAAAGGCTTCAACTCCCCTTTAGTAAGCCTCAGATGGAGGCAAAGCCAATTTATGTCTCCTAACAACCTTTGAAAAGCATTCAACATTTTAAAATTATCCTTCCTAATTTGTATTTTTTGAGGATTAAATTCTTTGGGATACATCAGTTTTCCTAGATAACTGAATGGAGTTTCCCTCTGTACTTTCTCAGGGGCAATACCTAGCCCGTAACTTTTCAACCCCTTCTGCAAGACCCCATAGGCAGACAATAGTAGTCCCTCAAGTTTATGAGCTAGAAGTATATCATCCATATAGTGAATAATAGATACTTCAGGATATAGACACCTAGTCCGTGCTATAGCCTGAGCTACAATTTTTTTACATAAGGTAGGACTGTTGGCCATTCCTTGAGGTAAAACTTTCCAATGATACCTTTTCATAGGCTCCTTAAAATTTATGGAAGGTACACTAAATGCAAATCTCTTACAATCCTGAGGAGCCAAAGGAATAGTGTAAAAGCAATCTTTTAAGTCCAGGATAATTGTAAAAGTGTCCTGTGGAATAGCAGAAGGAATAGGCAAACCAGGCTGTAATGCGCCCATCAGGTCCATTGTTTTAGTGACTTCTCTCAAATCTTGTAACAATCTCCATTTACCTGACCTTTTCTTAACCTCTCCATTTGCCTGACCTTTTCTTAATCACAAAAATGGGACAATTCCAGGGTGAATTAGAAGGTTCGATATGTCCGCTATTGAGCTGTTCCTGTACTAACTGCTCAGCGGCTTCTATTTTTTCCTGGGTAAGAGGCCATTGATCCACCCATACTGGCTTTTCGGATTTCCATGTTAGAGCATCAGCACGAGGTGAATGGCCTTTGTTAAAAATATCCTAGCCCTTTTGTATCCAATTTATGACACATTTGTAACGGTGCCTGAATTACCTGCCTATTTCTTCCTAGTCCGGCTTGCGGAAGCATTCTTTGATTAAACATTTGCTGCAAAACCTGCTCATTGGGACTATAGACTCTCATCTTACTCATCACATCCCTCCCCCAAAGATTGATGGGCAACCCCTTCACAATGTAGAGCGCAAAAGAACCTTTATGTCCCTCTAGGTCCTTCCAATGTAGCGCATCACTACTTTGATATGGACTCTGACTTTGGCCTGTGCCCTGCAAGTTTGTCATGGAGGTATGCTTTGTCCAGGCTGAGGGCCATTGTCCTTCTGAAATTACAGATACATCTGCCCCAGTGTCCAAAAGTCCTTTAAATCTTTTCCCATTAATAATTAGCTCCAACTCAAGTCGTCATTGACTGATAGCTTGTAGCCAATAAACATCAGAGGAACCAAAACCACCTGTCCCTCTATGCTGATTTTTACTATCGTTGCCACTGTGAACCAGAGGGAGCAGGAGCAATTGTGCCAATCTTTGTCCTGACTGTATTACAACAATTCCTAAAGGGGAATGAGTCATAATCTTGATTTCACCTTGATAGTCTGAATCTATCACTACAGAAGCTACCAGAATTCCCTTCATGATAACACTACTTCTTCCTAATACCAATCCCACCATTCCTTTTGGCAACGGCCCATACACTCCTGTAGGTATGGCTTGCATTCCCATGTCAGGGGTTAATACTGTGTAGGTGGAGGCACTGAGGTCCAGTCCTGAGCTTCCTGGGTGGCCCTGAAGAGGTCTTGAGTGGATTTCCCTGCTGGGGGATGAGTGTCTGGAGCACCCCATAACATTTTTTTGGGGGCCTGGGGATGGCCCCACTCCCCGTTTCCCTGCAGAAGCAAGTTCCCCATAACATCCTTTTTTGATTTGCATTCATTAACCCAATGCTTCCCTCGTTTACAGCGGGGACATAAGCCTGGCTCTTTGTTTCTCTGACCTTCTCTCTGCTTGTTAGGGCACTGTTTCACTTGATGTCCCAACTGGCCACACCCGAAGCAGCTCCCCCCAGGTCCAGCCACCCGTCCTTTTGAAAAGGCCTAATAGCAGCTTGACAGGCTCCATTAGCATTCTCAAATGCAAGCTGTTTCACTAAAAGTAAACCTGCTTCACTATCCCCCAGCAAGCAACCGGCAGTTTGCAGTAATTGAGCCACGAAATCCTGATATGGCTCATCCGGACCTTGCCTGATCTTAGACAAATCCTCAGTCTG